CGCTGGACTGCTCAGGGTGCCAGACCTCATCCGTTCCAAAATATGCCTGGTGCTATCTGCCCAGCAGCACCCAAACCACCACTTAGTACCGTGAGACCAGCTTCTTCACAAACTCCACGAGTCGTGTCAACACAACGTGTTGCTGATACATCAACACAAACAATGGGTCCACACCCTGCAGCAGCCACCACTGCAGCTGCTCCTGCTGTACGCACAGTGCCACCACACAAATACGCTGAAGATGTTCATAATCCTCAGCAGCATCTCAGTACACAGCCTGCTGTCCATGTACCAAGTCAGGAACCCTTGGCTGCTTCTATGTTGGCTCCTGCCCCTCCACAAGAACAAAAGCAGATATTAGGTGAACGTCTGTTTCCTCTCATTCAAAGCATGCACCCTAATCTGGCAGGTAAGATCACTGGTATGCTGTTGGAGATTGACAACTCTGAACTCCTCCACTTGCTCGAGTCTCCTGAGTCTCTTCGTTCGAAGGTTGATGAAGCTGTAGCCATACTACAAGTCCACCAAGCTAAAGAGGCTGCTCAAAAGGCAGTTAATAATCCCACTGGGGTTCCAAGTGTTTAATGAAAAGATCCAGGACCACAATCTAGAACTTTGCTTCACCGAAGGAAAAAAATCTAAACATGGGAAAACTATTAAATATTGAGAAAAACAGTGCAAAATATAAAACAAAGTAAAAAAGGAAAGGAAACTTTGAAGCTTATGTACAGAGCAATGCCGAGGATAGCAAAACATATGCCAGTCCTAGATTACATATTGATTTAAAATTAAAAAAAATAGTACAATAAAAAATACAAATTAATGTTTTATAAAGCCGGGGGAAAAGAATTTTCAGCAGAGCACAAAAGTTTAAAGCATTCCTTTCTTTAATTTTGTAATTCTTTACTGTGGAAAAGCTCAAAATATCTCCACTGTTTTAGTTGACAGTGAGAATTGATAGCTGAGCAAAGAAACATAAATTGGATTATAAAATTCTTGGTTTAATAAAAATTCCTAGAAGAAAAAAAAAGGAAAGAAAGAAAGAAAAAAACCCAACACCTTATCAACGCTTACATATATCTAAAAGGTGGGTGTCAAGAGGATTGGTCCAGGCTCTTCTCAGTGATGCCCAGTGACAGAACAAGGGGCAACAGGCACAAATTGGAGCACGGGAAGCTCCACCTCAACATGAGGAAAAACTTCTTTACTCTGAGGGTGACAAAGCACTGGAACAGGCTGCCCAGGGAGGTTCTGGAGTCTCCTTCTCTGGAGATATTCGAAACCCACCTGGATTTGTTCCTGTGAGTCCTGCTCTAGGTGAACCTGCTTTGGCAGGGGGGTTGGACCAGATGATCTCCAGAGGTCCCTTCCAACCCCTGCTATTTTGTGATTCTGTGATTCTGTGTGATTTATTCCTGCGTACTCAGTTGTGGACTGATGCCAGACCAAAGATTCCTGTGATTCTGCAGACTGGCTGACAGAACATGTCTTGGGAGATAAAGGATCCGCCAGTCTCTAGGAAATGACAGCTGCTAGGTTATTTGCTGTGCTAGAAAAGCAAAGATGAGAGAGCCAGAAGATTGACGTGTATGAGACTAGGGAGGGAAATAGAGAATTTTAATTATTTTCTTGCCCTCATTTTCGCTTTGCAGTCCTGATAACACTGGCCTCCAGTTTTTCCCCTCTGCAGAAGCCCCTTCACTCTCCATCAGTCATATGCCTTCATAGCCCTAGATGATGCTGTTGAACTTTCTGGGAAGAGATAGGGGGTGCAGCGTGTCATTGTCCCATAAAGAACTTGAGAAAGTACAAGCAGGCTGGTACAAGTTACCCCGTGACGTGGTGTGGAAGGGGAAGGGCATGTCTTCTTCCTGATGGCCCTGGCTCCTTTGGGACACGGTGCACCTGAGGAGCAGCCACTGTGTTCCTGCAGTTCCCAGGACTCTGGAAGGGAGAGCTCCTTGCATGATGGAGGGACTTGTGCTGTGGCTGCTGTTCATGATTCCCCAGACTGAGCGCTAAGGTGGTGTTTGGCTAAATCACATATATTTGGTCACCCAGTGTCAGTCTATGATCTATTCCAGCTCCCACTGTCTTTGCTCTTCTCTGAACCCTTCCAAAGACGTTCCAGTATAGTACTTGGCCTGCTTCTGCACTCACCACTTTATAACTAGTACCATGGAGCTGTTTTGGTAGTTTCCTCCTGATTTGCACAGGTACTGGAACAAGCCAGAAGGAGCAAGAGAAGATTCTGATCATGCTTTTGGAGAAGGGGAGTGGCCAGAACCAGAGCTGAGGGAATAGATTTGCCCTGCTAAACTGGTGGAGCATTTTAGTATGAACTATTTTCCACTGCAAAAAAGTTAATTTCACTGAAATCTGCATTAAAAAATAAAATAAAATAAAATAAAAAGATTGACTAAGACTAAACAAACCTAATGTGGATTAGAACGGCTATTTTTTGTGTGTTATGTTTCTGGGAAAAGGAAAAAGCGATCCTTTGTGCAGCCCAAAGATTCACTTTAAACAACCTGGATGTAAGGCAGGAGGATCCTATTGCTGATGAGAAGGGGGAAGCGAACCCCAAAACAGTGGAAAGGAAAGGCTGAATGCTGGATTCACTGGTCATCAACTCAGGTGGGAACAGAGGGGTGAGAACCGGTTATGCAAGACAAAGACAAGACTTGAGGAAATCTTAAACAGGCTACTGCATTTACCTTTGGGGCCTTGCTAATTGATGAGAGAAATGAGATGAAGTCCATCACCAATATCTAGAGAAAATAACTTGATGACCAATACTCTAGGTGACAATTCTGTCAAACATGAATCGATGTCAACCAAAAATGATTTATTGATGTGGATGATAAGATAGTGGTACTGTCTGTGTGGGTTTAATAGGGAGGAAAACTGAATCATTGGTTTAAGGATGCTAGAGAAACAGAAAAATATCTTTTATAGATGTAAAGGGCCAGTCAGCACAGTATTGAAATCCACAATGCCAAGAACTGCTTTTTAGCATTCCCTGCTACAGCCAGCAAACCAAGGCAGAGCAAGTATTCCTACACAGCCTGTGGGATCCCATGCTAATGCTTAGATCACCAAAACACCTCAGGCTAGACCACATCATACACATGACCCTGCAGAAAAGAGCCCTGTCCTACTCCCACAGCCCATCAAGGCCTGGATGCCTGGTCAAACTCCTTTCTTTTAAAAGATTGCTTTTGGGTTGGAGAATGGTTCCTCAGATTTTGGCCTTGGTTCTGAAAGATGTCAAAAGCCTTCCTAGCTCATGGAAAATGCCTGTCAGACACATGCGAAATGATTAATTTTACAGCTTGTAGCGAAGTATTATATTGCTTTCATCCTTGAAAGACAGGGAAGCTGTCCCTCATGTCTCTCACCGCAGAAAGTCCCAGTGTTCATGGTATGCAGCTGGCACAGCGGTGAACTTTTCCATGTAATGTGTTACTTCTCGAGCAAGGACGTGTTTCTCCCTCAGCTCAAAACACAAAGGTCTTCCCTTTGAGTCTTATTGTTAGTGGGTCTCTTGGCTACGTTAATTGCCCTGGAAGGGACTGCCGAACTTCGAATGCAAAACCCAACAGTCTGGTGTCTTCTGATGCTCCCTGAGGGAGTCTCATAGATCCTGTGAGCTACAAGAGTTTTTACCTCTTTCTTTCTCTCCCAAATCATCATCACCTTGCACGTTTGGACAAAGCATCCTGTAGTGCATTTTCCTGTCCTGGTGTAACCTGCCTTTGCATCCCTGAAGAAGTGGGAAAGAACATGACTCATGCAGAAACCAGCTATCTGAAAACTATTGCTTGACATTTAAATAGCAGGAAATATATCCTCAAAATGACAGCACTTGCTTAAAAATTATGACTATCAAATTCCCTAAGAGGGTTGGTGTATACATTGGCAGGGTTAGGCTGGGTGAATGGCCATCTGGCAATGTCTCTGTCTCCAAGAAGCATTCACTGAACAGGGGGAGTCTGGGCTCTTAGATCGGGTGCCCCGACTTTGGCAAAAGCATGCTGAGATTTGCCTGCAATCGCAGGACAGAAAGACCTGCACAGTCTTGAGGCCTGCACTACATCAAGAGACTGAACCATGCTGCACCTTGCCAAGCCCTAAAGATGGTTCTCCAGATCAGCCTGAACAAATTGGACTTGAATCAGCCTTAACATGTTTGGACATATGAAACACGTCTGTTTGAATCAGCAGTGTTGCAGCACACTGTGAATGAATTCAACTTGCTGCAGCCCTCCCTGTGCAGTGTGTGTTCAGAGCAGAAGTGTGATTTCTTCCTCTCATTTTCTTTAGGTGTTAACTTAAGTTATTACCTTAAACATGTTTGAATCTTTCAGCCTGTGCCTCTGAAGCCCGACTGGCTATTTCTTGGTTCTCACTTTTTTATTCTGTATTGCTGGTGGAACAGAAGTGAGATTTTGCTTCACTGACTGTGCTGCTGAGGTTGTTCTTGTGCAAAGCGCTCATGGGGCAAATGAATTTGTGGTCTTTGCTGGCGAGGTCCCTCAAGACTCAAGCAGTGGGTAACCTGTCAATGGGCAGTTTCGACACTGTCAGAGGTGTTTTGTTTTCCTGTTCTGTTTAGGTTAGGCAGTTTTTAACTGTTTTCTGTCCTTCTACCAGCAAAAACAAAGGTGATCTTCACTTCCCAGCTACTCTTATCCCATTCAGACCGTTCTGCTGGGGTGTCTAATTGTAACAGCATTGGTATTTGCTCTAGGAACCTTTGAGTTCAAAAGGTCATCCCTGTGGAAAAGAAAAGGGAATGTATTTGCATTTCTGTGGACCCATAAATGTCCTCGGTAGGAATTTGAATTGAATGTAAAACAATCTCGCAGCCTATGCAAATGTAACGGACAGATAGCAATTCTGTTCTCATTTCCCTAATGTGGGCAAATCATGTGTTGCCCTATTAATGAATCTTTGCATGCAGATAGTTATCAGCAAGATAGTGGAATATAAATTTAATAAAAGCACTGATCTAACAGGGACAGGCCATACACCACCTCAGGTCTTGCTGTGTGCTCTGACAAGGGAGCATGATCACGGGCCGTATCTTGCAGAGGGGCAAAGCACCTTCTGTCCAGAGATAGGTGCAGGAACCATGTGTGGAGGTAGAGGTATGTGGAGGAAAGGACTGGTGCCGGCCCAGCATGTGGGAGGAAACATCACCCAGATGGCTCACAAAACAGTGCAGGATCACAGCAGGGAAACGAGCCTTCCCAGAAACAGCTTTTCCTCAAAAAAACATAGATGTCTTCAAACTAATGCTTCTCATGGGAATGTACCAGTGTCAACACATTCTTAATTGGGAAACACGTCTTGACACCTAGGTGGAATTTCTACTCAAAAATCAGAGGGAAGGAGAGAGCTGAGACTTGAGCAGAGACCATTTACCTTCTGTAAAGGACATGGTTATTCAGTCTGTAGGTTCAGGCACAGATACTCCAACCCAGGAGGAAAGCTGCTGGTCAGGCTGTATTACTGGAAGCATTTAAGGTGTTTTTGCTTACCAGCTGCTTGCTGAAGTGTGGCCAAATCTCCTAGATACAACAGGAGCCCTGGCTGAAACCAACAACCCCTCCACCATGTTCTCCATCCTGAAGCTCTTGGTTTTGTCTAGTTGCAGAAGTACTTCTGGACCAATTCAGAGAAGGACAGAGTCTAGACTGACTGGGTCTCATAGAAATGTGCAGAGAAAGTTCTGAAGGGAACAAGTGGTAAACATTTTATACAAATGATTAGACAAACTGGTTACAGAGGGGTTAGTTCACAGCAGAAATCCTTTCTCCATGGTTTCAGCTAATACCTACATACTGGTGTCTGCATGCTCAGGATAATTCTTTTGGTCCCTTTATGGATAGACTTAATATAAAGCTGTGTCATTTCTTAAGCAGATCACTGATTTTTCAAAAATATGGGGTTTTTCATTATCTACAAGTTAATGACATGGCTTTGCTTCGAGCATTTTTAACTTCGAAGAG